ACTGCGTACCGAGTCCTGGCGGCCCAGGCGTGCGCGTCGTGGCCCGGGGCTGCACCCTGCTGGGCCACCCTTCATGTTTGTTATGGTATCGTGGCCGCCCCCAGGCCCGCGAGAGCTGGGGGGAGGCCGGGGAAAGGAGGCTCAGCGGTGTTGGGTTACCGGCCCTCCCGCCGCCGAGGCCCTGAAGGCCCCCAACTCCGGCCCGGGCAGCGCCCTGCTTGGGTCACAGCGGAACCTGGAAAGTCCCCGGGAGGGATGCTGCGGGAACTCGCACCAGGCTCTCAGGGAGAAAGGAGGAGTCAGGAACGAAGGAAGGCTCGAAGGAGGAACCCGGCCCTTCGCCCAGGCGCCGGTCTCCCCGGCAGGGACAACCGCCAAAGAGGGGAGGAGAGGTGGGGGCCGGGATGGAGCTGGGTCTCTGAGGTGACCAGCAACAGTGAGAAGGCCCCTTTCCGAGTTGGACAAAACATGGATCTGGGATGGATCAGGGCCTGGGCCTGCCGAGCAATTCCTTGCCCAAGCCAGAGGCCGCTTGCTAGCCTCTTGACCCCCTCAGGCGATGGGAATTTTCCTTTGACTAAAAAGGCTAGATCTCACCCCGCCAGGTGAGGGTCAAGCAGGAAGGCCTCCCAGCTGCATCCAGGCTGTCCTGGTTCTAAGATGAAGGGAAGAAACATTTAGAAGCCTTAGGAAATTTTTTTAAGTAATTTCATGTAAATTACAGTGTTCCAGACTAGCGTAGGAAGAGCGACCGGTGTGTTCTGCAAGTTGCCTGACCGCGCTGGCGCTTCCTCCGCACCCCTCAGGTTCCTCCCTCCCTCCGCATGCCTCCTGTCTACTTATCACCTTACACCAAACTCAGGCAACAGCCTGCCTGCGGGAGAACCCCCTCCCTGCTGCCAGAGTCATGGCCTGAAATACCCCGCTCATATCACCCCTTATTCCTCTGCTCCGTTCTGCACTTGATATTCTTATCTCAAAACTTTATTTACTTACTTTACAGATGCCCGAAACCCCTCTGCCCGCCCTTACCTTCCTTAAAAGCACTCACATAAGACAAGCACAAAGGCTGTGTTTATTCTGATCTATTCGTCCCACCAGCCCTGTCAGTGACTCCCTGCCCCCATCCTGAAACAGTCTGTAGACATACACGTAGATTGCTAGACAAGTTAGTGGCATACAGGTAGAGTCCTGGGTCCCCACTGAACTGGCTGGGGGACTTAGGTCCACTCATTTAACCTCCTTTAGTTTCTTCAGCCCTGGTTGATTTTCGTTTGGGTTTGTGACTTAGGTCAAATGCTTTAACCTCCTTTAGTTTCTTCAGCCCTGGTTGATTTTCGTTTGGGTTTGGTTAGGTTTTCAGGTAAACAGCTTGTGTCTGTATTGGCAGTTAAAATGGCAAGTATTCTGTTCCCTTCTGTCCCTCTGGACAAGGTAGGAAACTTACCCACTCCCTCAAGATTACATGTGGCCATATAACTTGCATAGGTTGATAGAATCAGTGCAAAAATGATCACTCTTTCTTCTGCCTGGAAGCATTAATAGCTATGGAGGAAATTGCCATGCCCCCTCCTCGCCTTTTCAAGAAGTGCAGAGTGGGGGCAACTGAGACTGTTGGGCAAACAGAATGGTCCCCAGGAAAAGTCACGTGAGTGAATACTCTTGCTGTGTTCAGCCAGTGAGGTGTGTCTCTTTGTTACAGTGCTATAGCCTATTGTAACTGCATTGCTCTCAAATGCAAGGGCTTCATCCTATCTGCTGAATGGACAGAACCTACCACATGCTGGTAACTATTTTACAGCAATGAGTGCTGTGGAAGGTAGCTGCCATGGTGTTTTCACTTGGGGCAGTCCTATCAGAAATGTTTTAAAATTGGCCTAATGTGACTTAGCTTGTACTGGGCAACAACAGCACCAAGACTTAAGCCCTCCCTGCCCCTGCTCTACGGATACCAGGTTACCTCTCATTAGATAGGAAGGAGGTAAACCCAACTACAAGGCGTGGCACACTGTCATGTCCTGCCAAACGTGGATTCCTGTAGCATTGATAATTGTGGGTTTTTAAATTACATGTGTTAACCCTGTATATTTATGTATGTGGACATATATGGACATAAGATGATAACTTCAGAAGTCAGCTCTCTCCTTCCACCATGTGGCCTCCAGGGATCAAACTCTGATCAGCAGACTTGATGGCAAGTGCCTTTATGTGCTGAGCCATTGTCAGCCCATATGTGGTTTACATCTCCTCTAACCAGCCGAGGCTCCTGGGTTCAGAGTTTGAGTTCTAGAGTCAAAGTAACAGGGTTCAAATCCTGTCCTGGCTGTCACAGTGACTGTCTTGAACCATTATTTCCTCCTCTCTTTGTGTCACTTCTCTGATCTGTCAGTGGTGATGGGGACAGCTGTGTCACTGCCAGTGGTGACAGTATGTTCCACATGTTGGCATGGGTCTTAAAAGATAGGAAGCATACTCAGTAAATGGTGGCTATTACTGTAAGGCCTACTGTTGCCTCTTTCCAGGCTCCTGCCAGAGTTCAGAGGAATTGTCAGCAGTTTAATCATACTGCTTGGTAGCCTCTAGTTCTCTGTTGGACACTAGACAGATGTCATAACATCTGTCTCACAGGTTAGAGTAGCATAACGTCCATCACGGGACCTTATTACATTTGCTGTTTTCAAAGCAACTTAAAAGAAAGTGTATGTTTGCTGTTTTGAGAAAGCTGTGTTCAGAAAACACAGTAATACCATCTATCATATAGTGTGTGTGTGTGTGTGTGTGTGTGTGTGTGTGTGTGTGTGTGTGGTATTAGGATCCCAATTTCACTGTTGAGAAAATGCATATCTGCAAAGGTTGACTATGTTGACAATGACTTTCAGTGTGAGTCAGGATTTGAAACCATCCATCTAAGGCTCCAAGCTGTTTGTGGTACAACTAGCCTGAGTTGATATTATTGATCTGTATTGATAGGTGAGGGTTGACAAGTCACCTAAGATTGAGACATTTGTAACTTGGATCTGTAAGCTGATGAACAACTAACTTGGAAATAGCCACTTGAGAACATGTTTATTCTTCACTGTGGCAGAAGAGAGCTGACTGTCCACCAGAAATTCATATTCCTCATTCCCAGCCCTTTCTGCCTGGGGCGTGTGTGTGTGAGTGTGTGTGATTCAAACCATGTGTATGCACAACATACCCGTATATGTGGGGCAAATATATAATATGTGTATATATGGTTTGAATGAACTGAACTGTCTGTCATCTATAGGCTCATGTTTGAGCACTTGTTTCCCAGTTGCTGGTGCAGTTTCAGGAGGCTGGAATCTTTTGGAGGAAGCAGGTCACAGCAGGGAGGATCTGATGAGTTATTATAGTTCTATCCCAGGTGATCTCTACTTCCCGCTCCCCAGAAATGTGAGTAATCCCAGCTATATAATCCCACTACCATGAACCCTGCCATGCTGTCCCCACCACCATGGACTGGAGCCTTTTAAACTGTGAACCAGAAGAAATCTTCCTCTAAGTTGCTTTTTATTAGAGGTGGTGGTGAGGTTTGATTTAATTAGCATTACTTGTATGAGAGATTCAATGGTTTTATTGAAATGATACAGAAAAAAAAAATCCCTTCAGTAATACTGCCTTGCTACTATGTGCCCAGCTTTGGGGCTAACAATGAGTAGAATCGTGTGGGCATGGTCCCTCTTCTTCCAGCTACCAGTCTAGAACAGTAAACACAGCTACAGCACCCAGCTGACCTCCAGCCACCAAGCTTGGGAGAGCTCATGCTATTTGGATATGGGATCCATACAAGCAAAATTTTGTGTTGATACCAGGAACCTAATTTCCTCCCACCTGCTAAGTGGCCCATAACCATGGCAACTGGGGTACAGGTTTCAGAATCAAGAGCAGCCATGTTCAAGTCCTCTGAGCAGTGTGGTCCTGGGCCATCTTCTCTTTGTTTCTGTTTCCTCATCTTTGAAATAGAAACATTTTTAAAGTTTGGTTGAAGATTCTTGGAGTTTGGCAAGTGTCCTCAAAAGATGTGTGTAGCAAAGCTTAGTCCCTGGTGTGCAGCTACTAGCTGGTCCTCTTCAAGATGTGGGGACTAGTGGGAGGTTTCCCACACTGGGGGTGCTCATGAAGGGAGGTATGGGCTCCTCTCTCTCTCTGCCTGGCCTCTCTATTCATCATGGAGTGAGCAGTTCCGCCATTCTACTGCATCCCCCACAGAGGGTGTGTTACCCTGACACAAGACAAAACAGGGGAGTCTCCATCATGGGAATGAAACCTCCAAAATTGTGAGCCTAAATAAATTTAAGTTAATAAGC